GAAAACGAACCACATAGCAAAACACAACGCAGCCAGTGCAAGTTGAATGGGTCTTAGGCTATCTAAAATTAAAGGAGTGACACGTGATGGATATGGCCTTCAACGTTGAGTGGCTATCAAGGTTAGAAGGTTTTAGATTTTAACAAAGCATTTCTTATTATCGGTTTGATTAATCATACCATGTATGAACAGAGTTTGTAAACTAGATTTGGCAGAGGAAATGATAACACAACTTTGACTGGGTTCAAAACTTACTCACAATATTAAGGGCATGACAATGCTTTTAGAGGCCATTATATTACAGCATACGACTAATCTGTGAAATTCTTTTACAACCTGTAAGTTTTTGTTTTCAAAATAATGTATATGGTTCAAAACATTTCATCTCACTATTTTTGGGTCCTATTTCAGGAAGGGTCCTATGATATACGATAGTACTACATAGCTAATAACCTGCCGGCCATCTTTAAGAGAGAAATGGTTGTAAATCACCCTTTGCAATGAGGTATCGATGTTCAAAAAGTTTTAAGATTGGGACTTCAATAATTCTTATTAATATCATTTATCATTACATATTTGTACTATTTGTAAATCAGATTTGGTGCATGAACATGACAGTGTCTAGAACAAGTTTATTTAATAGTTATTAACATTTTAGGCTTTAAAATACCATAACAGGGCTACTATTGAGTTTTAAAAACTCTGGAACCCAACTTTCTCCTTACATTCGATCTACTAAGTCTGCATCACAAGCACTTTTAGTAAAAAAAAATGTTGCCTTGAATATCATTTCAATAATGACGAGCAGAAACCAAATCAGCTTCAACATGACAGTGGCTACTAACATGTTTGTATAATACTATGTAGCTGTTAACACTTTAGGTGTTCAAACACCATAACAAGGCTATTAAACAATTTTGAAAACCTAGAAGCAAATTTCATTACTTCATTAATGTACAAGAACCTAATGTATGACAATTTTTGTTCTGCAAATTTCATTATTCCAGAAGGTGCAAAAACCTAATGTCACTCTTTTAAGATAAGATGATAGATCGTATTAGGCTTTATATGCCCTCAGTCAAAATTGATAAAATAAATAGATTTGCGTAAGTTTAAAAATCCTTTTCAAAATTGGCATACATAACTACTCAAACAGATCAAAATTGATTTTTGAATCGAATGATAAGTCCGAAAATAGGTAATGAACAGTCAGAACTACATGGCCCCTGGTAGTTTATCGGATAAATTGATAAGTCAGGCATTCCCCCGCACACTGAGAGAAACCCATTGTAGATTTTGATTCCGCACAAAGTTAGAGTATTAATTTGAAACGGGCAAATTTAGGTACCCAAAACATCTTCGCGCAAATTCGTACAAAAATAAGGTTAAAGCTACCGTAAAGTGCTATTTCAGCAAAATCATCCGTTTTAGTCATTTTTTTAAATACTTAATAAATATGATCAATATTCGATTATTATATATAAACAATAATACCTTCTACTTTAATATTGTATACAATTATATTTATTACTCCGTATTATTGTATTGTCGTATAATTATTGAATCGGTTTTCCGGGTTTGACCCATCGGGTTCAAATTGACCCGTGATCCGGTCAAGTGGTCAGTCACTTCCGGTTGTTTAGAAGGAGTGTTTCCTTAAAAATTTGTGTAGCTCTAATTCATTCTTCATTTATTCCCACTTTATTTTATTAGTTCATTATCAATCATATAATTCTATTTTTCTTAAAAATCACGCCATTGCCTTCCGTCCCAATATTAGGGGAACGGAGGTAGTAGTTATTATTTCATATATGTCCCGTGCATCATCGCACGGGTGAGAAGTGTATCACAAAATATTGATTAGTGATGAGGATGATCAAGAGATTGATTATACTACTGATGTTGTTTACAAAGAAGTCTTTCAGAATTTAAAGTTGGACTATGAACACTTATTATTTTACTTCTCACTTTCTCCTTTCAAATGTTATATCTCTTTTATGATATTTACATTTTCCCTTATGCGATGATATTTTAATCTCTCTATAACTACACACACTTATTATGTTACTAACCACTTTATTTTGAGTTCAACCACTTTCATGTTTTTATAATACACTTCATAATAATACATTGGTAAATTTACATCCGCGCATCGCGCGGGTGAGAATCTAGTTATAAAAAGGACAGGTCATTTGACATGCAATAACCAACGCGCAACTGACACAAGCTATATAATGCAAGTACAAAGCATTAAATATGCTCTCATGGCATTGATATTGACACCTGATACGACCCAGATTATTGTTAGGTGTTTAGGCGGGAAAAGTGGTGTTTAGGTGGGAAAAGTGGTCTGAAACTCTGAATTCCACTTGCTTTTATATAGAGTTAGATTAGATAGGGTTGGAAGATCTTGTTCATAAGTGTGCAAAATGATGCCGGTGCATTGGTTAGTCCAAAGGGCATGACTAACCATTCAAACGAGTCATACCGTGTAACACATGTAGCCTTTGGCTCATTCCCTTCCGCTATTCGCACTTGATAGTAACCTTTTTATAGATCCATCTTTGTATATATCTTGGCTCCACCAAGTCTATCAAATAGATTGACAATCAAAGAGATAGGATAGCGGTTCTTGATTGTTACCTTGTTAGGGCAATCAAGTATAAATATCACCTTCCAACTTGTGGAAGGGGATTCGAAATTCTCGGTGCAAACTTGTTGTTACTCTGCCCAAATCTGTATTTGATCTTACTTAGCACTTTTAAGTCTCTCCTATTTCCCAGATTCCGGCTACCCCAGGGCCGGTGATCCATCAATAACATTAACCTAATAATTCTATATGACAAATACTGATATTTGGAATTTGTATTCCTGAATGAAAACCATTGAACTTGCATTTTATGAAATGCATATATAAAACATTGTGTGTCAGTTTCCATACTTCTCAATATAACATTAACCTAATAAATCAATATGACAAATACTGATATTTGGCATTGAGGAAGCGGTCCAGCCCAGCTGGTCACCGGCTCACTCTCCCTTACGAGAAGTATCGGGTTCCAAACTCAATGAAGTGAGTTTCAGCCTCAATTACTCCAGGCCCCAAGACGCCCCTGGAGAAAAAAACTGATATTTGTCATTTTGTATTCTTGAATGAAATTCAGTGAACTTGCATTTTATGAAATGCATATATAAAACACTGCATGTCAATTTGATTAAATGAAATGCATATATCGTCGAATATGTATGTCATTCATATGTGTTTTCTTCTCATTCGTACCTTTTTGGAATTAACTAATTATGATCTAGCGAACTCCGCATGTCCTATTTGAAATCTGAGGGCCTCTTTACTAACATAGATATTTTCCAGTTTTCCAGAAAACTGGAAAACTGGAAAACAGAAAACAGGAAACGTGTTTACCAAAGAAATTCCTGGAAAACTGGAGAAAGGAAAAAAGAAAAACGCATTTACCAAATCGTTTTCCAAAACGGAAAAAATGAGACATGTCTCTCTTTTCCTTAATGATTTGGAGAAGTGACTTTTACTTGTTTTCCAAATTTGGAAAACGCAGATGCTACAGTGCCGTTGCAATGAATTTGCATACGTACACCTAGTGGTGGGTCCAGTCCCGCTCCGATGTCGATTCCATTCCGGTACCTCCATCCTCGTACCTTACCCCTTACCCCTACCCTACCCTACCTTACCCACCCAATCCCACCCCGCATACCCATTTTTCCCTATAATTACCCTACCCCACCCCCTACCACATGCCCCTACCTCGGCCCCACCCCGATCCACCCTACCGCCACCCCCCTACCACCTCGACCCCACCCCGACCCACACTACCCTACCCCCACCCGTATATTACCCCTTACCACATGCGCCTACCTCGGCCCCACCCCACCGCCATCCTACCCCCCACCCTCGTACCGCCATCCTACCAGCACCCTTCCGCCTAGAGGTGGACTCGGGCCGGGTGGCCCGACCCGGAACCGGCCCGGCACTGTTCCGGGCCCCCCATTCCTGAACCGGAGGCCCGACCCGGGCCCGAACCGGCTCGAGTCCACCCATACTTCCGCCATCCTACCACCATCCTACCCCCACCCTACCCTTCCCCTACCTCGGCCCCACCCAGATCCCGGGCCCACCCTACCGCCATCCTATCCCACTACCCCTACCTTACCCCAACCCTACCCACTACCCCCACCCTTACCGCCATCCTACCCCCACCCCTTCCCTACCTCGGCCCCACCCCGGTCCCGGCCCCACCCTACCGTCATCATATCCCAACTCCATACCCTACCCCTAACCACGACCCTAACCCACCCACTACCCCCCACCCAACCCCCTACCCCTAGACCTTACCACCCCACCCCCACCCATAACTTCCGTACCCCGACCGCTACGAGTGGGTATGGAGGGGTATGAAGGGTTGTGGGGGAGTATGGGTAGAGTGCAAGATCGTGGTAAGGGTAGGGGTCAAGGGTGTGGAATTGGAGATCTGGGTAAAAAAATTGATGAACATGTTTTTAGATTTGAAAATGGAAAACTAGAAAATAGAAACAGAAAATTGTAAATGTGAAATTAAAGTGACTACGTTATTTCCTAAAATGGAATGAGAACTTTTAAATGGGACGCCTAAATAAGAAAAATGTAAATCTTTCAATTTGTTGAAAATACATCCAAATATTGAATAATATCCCGTGCATCGCACGTGTACTATACTAGTGTTCATCTAATAGAATATTCAACATGTTTATTAATGTGTTTCATTATGCATTTACTTAAACATGCAATAATGCTTACTAATGTTCACTAATCTTTTCATTTGAGCAAATAAACACTTTCTAAAAATATCAATTATTTTAATTTGATTTTATTTATCATTGAGGTATTTCATTTTTTCAATAATAATATAAATTACTTCGAATGTAGGTTGTAATAAATTTATTGTGTTATAAGAGAAAATATTTGAAGGATACTGAAGTAATTCATCAAGTCTGTAATATAAGATAACATTCAACCAAACAACTTAATGTCACATTCTCTTAATCTTAACCAAACACAAATGAGATAAAGATTGAACACATCCCCATGAATCTAATATATCCAGTAATCTGTATCTCTTGAACCAAACGGACTAAGTCAAGTGTTCTGAAGCGAGCTAATCCTCGTTAATCTGCGAAAGACCTCTGTGATTTGAAAGCAGTCCCCTTAACCCCAAGCTCTTCGATTTCTGGCCAGAGTTCACAAGGTACCCTTGTCTTCCTTTTCTAATTGTAGGGATGCCCATTAGGAACATTCCACCTCGGATGCGCTTTTTTTCTGAAATCAAATCGAACTAAACTAAATTTCTATTGATGCGATCTGGAGTTCTCGTTCAACAGATCATTTATCCGCAGAAAAGGGGTCAAATTCAATAGCTCCACTACAATTTTTTTCAAAAGATTATTTAAATAAATAAATAATACTACGTATAAAGTAATTTTCTTTCCTAATTTAGATTGTCAGAACTGTACTCGGGGAAGACATGTATTGCGTTTGGTTTTAAATTTTCGTGCAGAAACTAAGGATGTTTGTTTTGCCAAAAAGAACTAAATATGTTTTTAAATTTGCCGGTCTGGTTTGATCTGAATTGGTTGATCTGGTCTAGTAATATTTGGTCTCTATGTATTTTATAATTATGGAAGTTTGATCTGTTTAAGTCTGGTCTGGGTATAGTAACAAGTAGACCTGTCCCCGGTTCGGAACTGGAACCGAACGGGCGGTTCACGGTTCACCAAATGCTCAAACCTGAATCGGAACCTTGAACCGCCGGTTCCTGTTCCGGTCCGGTTCAGCGATTTATTTTAATAATTTTTATTTATTTATTTAGGATATTTATATATATTTAATTAAAACATTAGGATATAAGAACAACACTTTGTGAATCAAAGACAAACATTGTGATATAAAAAACATTAAAGATGTCATACAAATCTTTGTAACTTATTTATTTTTAAAATAAATTTGAGCTTTGTGAATCAAATTAAAACAATATATTTATTTAGGATATTTATATCATTATATGTACTACCTCCGTCCCTCTAAGTTTGGGACAAGAGAAGGTGACACGGTTATTAATAAAAGTGAGTTTATGTGGTTGATATTGAATTGATAAAGTAAAAATAAAGTAGGAATGATTTAGAACCACACAAACTTTACCAAATAAGGTATGTGACAATCTTAGTGGGACGGACCGAAATGGTAAAATGGGATAATCATAACGGGACGGAGGGAGTATTTAATTAAAAGATTAAGATTTAAGAACAATACTTTGTGAATCAAAGACATACATTGTGATATAAAAACATTAAAGATGTCATACAAATCTTTGTAACTTATTTTTAATAACTTATAGAAATCAACTTTAAAAAAATTCCGGTTCTCAAAAATCCCAAAAACCGAACCGTCTCCCTTAACCACAGGTTTAGAACCTTGACCGCAGACCGGTTGCGGTTCTGTTTCCGGTTAAACCGGAAACCTGGGACAGGTCTAGTAACAAGTAACTATACCCGTTTACCAGAATATTTGAATAGTGCGTCTTAATTTGATATTTGAGTTTTTTTGCTTCTGCCAAATGTCATGGCGTTATGGACTTGACTACACTAGGATCTGCACTGATGTAGTCTAATTTATTTCAGTTTTTGTGTTTGAATGCAAATGCCTAATCTAATGAGTTAGAATTTGTTTATCACAGCTGAGCTGAAATCAATGGCAGGGTCTGGTAGTTCTATGTTATATTCATTTCTTCTTTTTGTGATCACCATCTCACTGCAAGAACTGTTTAGAGCACAGTTGGCCTCTTCTGAGTTGTATACTATCCTTGGAGGTCTCGTCAGTTCTTTCATATTCCTTACTTTGCTAACGGTAAAACTCACATTCTTTATCTTGTGTGTTTGCATAAAGGTGCATTACACTTGCAACAACAACACAACACAAAGATAAATAGATAATCCTTGATGATGTCATCTGCAATTGTATTCACTCAAGACTAAAGTGACATTTCTCCTGTTTTAAGAAATGTTATCAAGTAATGACATTTAGAGGCTTGTTTCTCAGTTGTGCTTTTTAGGATGGAGTAAACTGGTCATATGTTTACATCGAACATGGACAGTGGCGGATCCAGGGAAAAATGTCATTGGCAGCATTAACTAAACACAATTTTCTAAAAGTGGCTAAGTGCTAGTTGGGCGGTGACTGGCCGCCTAGCGCTTAGCTCGCCTATGCTGGCACCTAGGTATTTTTTTCATTTATTTTTTTAATTTTTTCATTTTCTTTGAATTTTAACAATCTTTCCTAATAATTTTTTCATTTATAGCATTTTGACAATAGAAAGAACTAATATAATCATTAAATGTTATGCTTTTTGGAGTAAAATTATCGATAATAAAATAATTAATCGATAACTGAAGAGATTTGGGCATTTTAATCTCTAAAAATGCTCATACTTCATATACATTCATAAAACTTTATATACATGTAAAAATGATTTTTGTTGTAGGAATATGATAGTGAGTTTTATAGGAATATAATACTTATTTATCAAACGATGTTTCAAGACAAAACGAGAAAAATTAGTTGGGTCGCGAACAAATTTACTCCCGGTCACCAAATCACCATCTAGCCTGCCTAGCTGCCGCCTAGACACCTAGGCGGCCGCATAGTCGGCCAACTTATTTTTATAACCATGGCTAAACATAATATTACAACATGTGGACCATGTGGTAATTTGTTTTCAATCACATAAATCTCCCCTTATCCCAAATTAAATTAATTGTCTTGTTTCAGTTTGTACAGTTATGAATAAAGTTGTTGAAAAGTAAACTAAACAATGCGGTTGAGTTTTGAATATAAAAAAGTGAAATGTTACGAAAAACATAGTTTCTGCAAATAAAAGGAGCAAGACAATTACTTTAAAACAACACAAACAAAAATAGCTATTAGGGCAGGGGATTACAAATTAAATGCAGATATTATAGTCAACCATTACCGTTTTTTTTAATAGAACATAAAAATATGTGAAAGCAAAATACTTAGAAAGAGTAGTTAAGAGAAGCCTAGCAAAAAAATAGATAAATTTAATTTAGTTCTGAAGTAGCTCTGAATTTTAAAACCAGGTTCTTTGTGAAAGTGTTTTTTCGTCTCCGTATAGAGGTAATAATTAATGGGTCCATGGGATGATGGGGGTATTTTTTTTCCATTGGGGCACTATAATTTTCTTTTATTAAAAGACCACTTTTTATAATTTAAAACTCAGATTTTATTGGGGGCTTGTCACGTGTGCCTCCATTAAGTATAAGGTACGTCCGCCCCTGAACAAGGATGGCACGTGCTTCTTTACTAATTTGTTTGCATCCAATGATTTTAGTGTTTATGGCCTGTTGTCCTGTTTTTGCTATTCTCAGACTGTTCTTGTTCTACGGGTGGGGTTTAGGTTACATATTTGACATTCGGGTGTAATTTCCCGTTATTCAGTGCCCATGTATGAGTGTGTATATCCTTCTGTATGTGTTATTCACACCCTTTGACAATTGTGTGTACATGTGCCTAATTGTGAGGTCCAAAGATACATGCAATGTTATGCTCATTAATTAGTATGAAATGCATAACTTTTAGGTTTATTGTAAATGATAATAGCGTGTAATAATAACAAATATTCTGTTTGTCTTTGAATGTTTTCATCAACATTGTACTATGTAGAGTCACTTTTGTTTCTTCTTTCTAAGAACTAGGGGTTACACTTAGTCTATCTTTTTCACCATAGGTGTCATATATTACAACAACAACATTCAAGCTTTAATCCCAAAAGATTTTGGGGTCGGCTAACATGAATCGGTCCATGATATCGATTCCAAAAAGAGAAGACAAAAAAGAAAAAGAAGGAAAAAAAGTAAGATAAAACGGATACGATAAAAATAAATAAGTACTACCTCCGTCCCGAAATGAAGTTCATGTTCACTATGTATTGGTCAACTTAAATCACTCGTAATCTTTTACTTTATATATCAATTTTTTATCAAATTTAAATTTTCTTGATCAAGCTTTGCAGCGATTTTAATGTGGTTTCTGAATATGTAAATTTTATTTACTAATAATAATCCAAGTGTGAACAGGGATCGAGTTGCTTTATTGTCAGTCAAGCATCGTAAAGCAAATGGGAACTTTTTTACGGGACGGAGGGAGTATAAGATAACAATAATATAAGAATATTAGAACGATAAAAGATAAAAAGATAAAAGGGCATAAAAAGCTTGAAGATAAAATAACATAAGAACATAAAAAGATAAAGAAGATAAACGATCAAAGAAACAGAGAGAAGAAAGAAAGAAAAGAGATCAATCGTTCACACGAATGTGCGCCCTCCATTTTGCTTTTTCCAAAGTCATACTCTCATCCAACCCAAGAAAATGCATATCAGTTCTGGTCTTCTAATCCAAGTCTGTTTGGTTCTTCCCCTCTCCTCTTTGTCTCTTCTCTCCACCCCTCAAGTCGTCCAACAGGTGCATCACTTGGTTTTCTACGCACATGCCCAAACCATCGCAAATGAGACTCCTGCATCTTATCTTCTATAGGTGCTACTCCTACCTTTTGTCTGATTATCTCATTTCTCAAGCGGTCATTTCTGGTATGTCCTCACATCCAACGCAACATACACATCTCTACCACACTCATCTTTTGAATGTGACATTGTTTCACCGCCCAACACTCTACGCCATACATTAATGCAGACCTAATTGTTGTCTTATAAAATTTACCCTTCAGTCTAGTCGGCATACCTCGATCGCATAGAAATCCTGACGCACTCTTCCACTTCATCCGTCCAGCTCTGATTCTATTCGATACATCTCCATCTAATTCACCACCCTTCTGAATTATGGAGTAACGAAACATATTACACACGGGTATCTCCTTATCATCAACAGTAAAGTAATCCCACTGGTGCTACTACTTCTACCTCCACCAAACTTGCACTCCATATATTCAGTCTTGCTTCGGCTTAGTCTGAACCCTTGGTCTCCAATATTTGTCGCCACACTTCCAACTTTGCTTTAACATCCGATTGCGTCTCATCAATCAATCAAGATCGTCGACAAACATCATGCACCAAGGTATATCATCTTGTATTGACTTCGTAAGTTCATCCATGATTATAGCAAATAAGAAAGGGCTCAAAGCCGATCCTTGGTGCACTCCGATAGTAATAGGGAACTCTGTGGTCCTCCTTACACTAGTACGGACATTTGTAGTACAATCCTCATACATATCCATGATGATATTGATATACTTACGTAATATGCCTTTTCTAGTTAAGACTCACCAAAAGACTTCTCGAGATACCCTATCATATGCCTTTTCTAAATCAATGAACACCAAATGCAGATCCTTTTTAGTGTCTCTATACTTCTCCACAACTCGTCTAAGAAGGTGAATGACCTCAATTGTTGAGCGTACAGGCATAAAACCAAATTGATTCTCCGAAATTTTCACACTTTTCCGAAGTCTTTACTTAACCACTCGCTCCCAACATTTCATGGTGTGACTCATAAACTTAATCTCTCGATAGTTGGCACATTCTTGTACATCACTCTTATTTTTAAATAGGGGAATGAGAGTACTCTTCCGCCAACTCACTGACATTTTGTTGTTTCTCCAAATCATGCTGAAGAAACCTGTTAGCCATCAATGCCTTTCTCTTCCAAACTTCTCCAAGCCTCGATCGATATGCCATCTGAGTCCACTGTTTTCTTTTGTCCCATCCTTCTCATAGCCTCTTTAACTTCTGTTGTTTGGATCCTTCTCACGAAGTCCCAACTTACCGATTTACCATACACTCTGGTATAATAAGATCATCAATACTTTGCACTCTATTCCCGTTGAGCAAGGTATCAAAGTATGACCTCCACCTCTCTTTTATTTCCTCGTCCTCCATTAGTACCCTTTGATCGACATCATTCACACACTTAACTTTTCAGATATCTCGAGTCCTACGGTCACGAAGGCGAGCAAGTCTGTAAATATCTTTTTCTCCTTCCTTAGAGTCCAATTTTACATGCAATTCCTTGTTCACTTTTCCTTTTGCTTCCTTTACAGCTTTGCTTTGCTTTTCTTCTAGCCTCCTTGTACTTCTCTATGTTCTCGTTGCTCCAACTTTTGCCCAATTTCTTATAGCATTCCCTTTTGGTCCTTATTGCTTGTTTCACATCATCATTCCACCAAGATGTGTCCTTTTTTGTGGTAGTGATAGGAATACTACAGATAGGTATTGACTAAACAGAAAAGAATCTAGCTCAAGAATCAATCAAACTTCATTAATGGAGGAGAAACGAGTACAAAAGAGTCCCAAAAAGAAGAGAACAGATTCTCCAATCTTCCCAGTCCTAGCCAAAGAGTCTAACACCTGTCTGACCTCTCCCAAACTTATTCTATTTATAGTCTCCTAGTTCAACCGAAAATAGTTAATAGTTACTAACAGAAAACAACTATTAACAAACTAGTCTATTTAATTCTTCTAGAATAGACTTGACCAAAGTATCTATCCTTCTTATTAAAAGGTGTCGTATTCCTAACAATACTTCCCCCTAAACATCCACCTTGCCCTCAAGGTGGGTGATAGGAAACAGCCGAGATCTTCCGCTTCAGCCCCTTCATCCTGGCGCTTTTACCTTCCCAATATCTCACTCTTTCTCAGCAAAGAGCTTCAATGCTTGATCTTTACAACCATTTCGTTTGAGGTTTCAATATCAAGCAGCATAGAATATTTCTGTTGAGGTTTCATTCTCTTCCTTAGTCTTCAGGCCTTCAATAGCCACAAATATTTTCATGCTTTCCTGAGGTATATCCCTTACAACAGTACATAATTTGTGTTC